CTTAAGAATCTATTTTCATCTATAATTATAAAATTTTAAACTCCAAAAATGGTTCAAATCAAGTAGATCTATGAACATTTGAAAGTGGACGGTCCAGATAATGTGTTGCGACATAAATTATTTTTAGGACTCAAAATATGCTTTCCTTCTCATATTCATGCATCTTGATGTCAAGATGATCAATTAGAGGGTTTTCCAATACCAAAATAACCTTTTATGATGGAATTTTGAAGTATACCTTAATTCTACATTTTAATATTACAACATTTTATAAATTTTTTCCATCGCATAATAACCATTGGTTTAATTATTTCATATATGGATTATATGTCAATGATATTTCTGTACTCGCTTTTTGAATTACAATCGTCGTAAAACCCCAGTGGAACCCATCGACGATTACTTAAAGGGCCCCAAATTTCAGGAATGTAACCTTCTCAGCAACCTAAAGACCAATCACAAAAAACAAATAAATAAAAAATCACGTACTTTGCATGCGCCTTAAAAAAATTTAGAGATAAATTTTGGATCCGAAATTTTAGGATTGATACTCTCAACCATGGTGATCGTGAATATAAAGTTTTCAAGAGTTTAAGCTGATGTGGACCTTGTTATGAGCAACAAATGAAACAAACATGCTACTAGAAATAATAAAATGGAAAATATGCTCTATGCTTGTGGATAGGCAATGAATTTTTTTTTTTTGGGTAAATCAATATAGGGAGAAGGACCCCTATTCATTTTTTTTTCATTAATAAATGAGAAAGAAAAAACAATTAACGTATAACTTTATAATAGGACAATTACACGAGATCATGTCGCAAAAGAGAAAGAAAGCAAATATTTGTTGTTGGAGTAATGACCTCAACTAGTGAGGTTTAATAAAGAAGCAAAAAGCAAATCATAACAAACTTAAGGCCTAGCTCAGACCTAACCGGTTCGGTTAGGCTCAATTAAGGTATCCGGCAAGCCAAACTCAGTCCACTTGACTTTGACCCCAGTCTTGTCCAGGTCTAGCTTAGACCTAACCGGTTCGGGGTGGTTTGATCTGACCCCATATCTATATATAAGAAAATTGTTTTATGCGGTGGGGACCGCATTTCTATATTTGCGGTCCCGAGGTATAAAGCATCCATCTTCAAGATGAATGCAAATAGGTGATCCATTTAAAAACAATTGAAACTAACGGTCCAAATGTGTTCTTAATAGAATTATTATTTAATTTTAAAATTTATTTATCTATTCGTATTCATGATCTCCACGTCAGACATTACGTGTCTTTAAAAATTAAGTCCAAATATCCATATCAAAAGTAGATTTTTAAGAGCCAACTCATTTCTACATGGACTCATAGAAACCATATCCGAATATAAATTGGAGTGAATCGGATTCTTATATTCTTTTCCATGTGGGTCACTAGGTCCTATGATTCATGCGGAAGTATTGGCATCTATATAGATTCTATTGTGCGTCTTACTCATGTATATATATATATAGGAGTACTTTGAAAGAATTTACAGATGTGTATATATAGAGGAGTAGCTTGAAAGGTAAACCGGAATGCTATGGCCACTTTGCAACAAGAAAATGGAGGAGGTCAGCCCTCACAAGCAACCGGCATAAGTTCAGCAAGAGCTTATCTCAATCTTCTCAACGCGCTCTCTGGTGCACCCTCATATTACTCATCATATTCACTCCATTACCTAGTTTTCTCTACTGCCAATGATCGCATGCTCCCTCGGAAGCAAACTATCCATTTGCTCCCTCGGACAAAGACTAGGGGCATTTTCATGACCCTCAAACTTTGGAGATGTATCCCTCCACACCTAGAGATCAATTCTGAAAATAAATAAATAAATAGTAATTCACACACACATTTATGAGCCTAGGAAAGTAACATCCCAAAGTTCCAATTTTAGTAAGATCAAAGTGTTAAAGAGCTCAAAATATATTTTTTTTCTTATAAATAATTATATGATGACATTTAAATGGATCCCAAATTTTCAGATCCAAAAAATCTTTCCAAGTAGAATTCCTACTCGACGGAGCAAACAGACAGTTTGCTCCTGCAGGAGCGTAGTATATGTGCAAAATGCTGTTGGAAAGCTTTTCCCTGTCTCAGGCTGATGTCAAGGTCCCAAATTGACGCCCCAAATGATTTAAGGTGATTCATTCGACTGTGAATAGAAAATGCTTTAATGGATTTGTTGACAAAAAGGTTCATACAACGAATCAATTTTTATGCTACAAAAAGTAAGGTGCCCTTTCACTTCTTGGAATAGGTTATTTTGATATTAGAAATCCTCCAATTGATTTTCACAAAGGTGTTATTAACTTTGGTCCCAATTGGTTATTCAACCATTGTTGTTAGCTTCGCTTTGCTTTGGATGAATGGTCTTCGAGTTTAATCTTGTCGCCGAGGTAAAGTAATAACATGAAAACTCGTTCATTTGTTTGAATTCAAAAGTTAGAGAGGAAATATACGTAATAAGACCATTTACTTTTGATATAAAATGGTGACAATCATTATTGATAGTTAGATGGAAAATTGAGTGGTTAAAAATGTGTCATTGTCTGAATACAAAGTCTAAAATAAAATATATCATTGTGACACACTTCAATATATTAGATTTCACATCTAATGGCCAAAAAAATTGTAACCTTCATATACTAAAAGTAAATGGTCTCTAGTTAGAAAAAAACAAAACCTATGAATCGTATAACTGTGGGTACAGAAAACTTACGTAACATTGGCATACCAATCCTCTTAAATAGAGGCAAGGACAAAGGAAAGCCGATAAAGATAGAAAAAAAGCATATCTCATGAGAGGGAATTAGCGAAAGCGAAGAGATTTTATTGTTCATTTACTCCCATGGGTAAGCTCAATCTAAAGAGTATTTTGAGGTCCTCAAATTTTGGAATGTACCTTCTTCAACCTATATGCCGTGTTTGATAAAATGAATTTCCAAATTATATTCTTCATGGGCTTGAAAAAAAAAAGGTTTAATTTTTGAAGGGTGATATATAAATGTTAAAAAACTCAAAATTTATTTCTTTTTTTCTTTTGGAACAATCATATGGTGATTTTTAAGTCGTTCCCAGAATTTCTGACAATTTTTTTTTTCGAGATTAGTTTTTTGCTCAAGGGAGTAATTGTATAGTATACAAAAGATGGTACGCTTCAAATACAACCTTTACAAGAGAAAATGAAAGGAAATATTTCTCTCTGAGAGTATGAATAAAATATTAATAATTGAAGCAAGAAAATTTTAAGGTTAAAAAGTAATTTATAAAACATCTTAATAAAGTAATAATTTGTTTTGGATTTAATTTATAATATTTATTTGTATTATTCATTTTAAATTTTAAATTTAATCGAAGACTTCCTCTGAATTGCTGGAAGTGCCAAAGTGCCTCCTTTCTTGCACCAAAAGTGAAGATCTAAAACAAAATTGATAATATTGATCTCAATCTTAATACTTTGTGATATTTAAACATATCAAATATTTTTTTTGGATTGTCCATTTTCAAGATTTTTAAGTATGTATATGAATTTGCCCAATTAGCACGAAGTTTGGAACTTTAAAATTGGATAACTTGTAGTGAATATAGATTTTCAGGTCATCCCAGGATTTTTTTTACACTAGAATTGCTATCTTTTGGCAGGAACAGGAGCTGCATCTTACTCTAATTGTTTAAGATTGATGCCTTACATATTATGTGCAACCCTTATTTATTGTACGTGTGTAACGTATTTTGTTGGGATCAAATTGTACACTTCCTCCTCCTAGCAAACCACCAGCATTTGTTAGATCTGAAAACTTAGGAATCATCTTAAAACCATCCAATTGATTATCGGTTTCAAAAAAATTAAAATATGTAAGTTTTTAAAGGGAAAAGTTTATATAGAGCCGAGGCTCTAAACAATCAAATTTGAGCCTACCTGAAAACTTTCACCGAAAGAGGTTGTTTTGATGCCGAAATATCTTCAAATTGATCATCTCAACATCAAGATGCATGGATATGAGAAAAAAATAAATTTTAAGTTTTGGAAATAGTGTATTTTTGGATTGTCAATTTTAAATATTTTCAAGTGTTCATAGATCTGTCAATCTACACTATTTTTTAAGCTTTAAACTTGATAAATAAATATAATATATTTTTTAAAGCTATAACAAATATTTTCAGTATTGAAACCACATTTTTCAACACTATTTGAAGGTATGCTCTAATTTGATTGTTTAGAGCCTCGACTCTATACAAACCACACCCAAGTTTAAATACCTTAACCCTTAATAGAAATGATCTAGAAAATGAATGGCGTGTTCAATCATGATTTTTTAAGGCAATTATAGAGTGCATCTTCTACCTTGCCTGCTTTTTGTTTTCCTTATTAATTTGGTATTTTGGATTAGAACATACCTCACAATTCAAGGTTTAAGAAAAGGGTGTAGTTTTTAGAAGATTACAACCTTGCTTAAAAAAATAAAGTTGTCATATTCTACATCTCCTATTTTAGCTAAACAGTGTCGATTTGATATGTTGTTTAAAACAATGTTAAAAAGCAACATGTCTTTTGAGATAGTAACAAATCTATATTATCTAAATAAAATGAATTGTGTATATCATCGTAAACTTACTTTACTCAATATTAGATTTTTTTTCTCTGAAAAAAAAAAATACTCATACATAAGCTTCTTTTGCCAAATATTTATATTTTTCCCCTGAGGCAGCATTATAACTCGCGCTTTTTAAAAATGAACCCAAATTTGGATTTTCAATATGCAAGTATGCGTTAAACATAGGGAAAGTATGTAAAGAGACCACTTACTTTTAGTACAAAGAGATCATAATCACTCTTGCTGGTTAAATTTTAAATCAGGTCGTTGACTAGCCTCAAAGTTCAAAAACGAAATTTCTCAAACTTCATGACACACCCAGAGCCATCTATTTTAAAATATGATGGTTAGAAGTAATTATGACCTTCTTATAACAAAGATAAATGGTCTCATAGTATATAATCCCATAAACATAAGCCTATAGTCTAAAGATCATAGGTTTTAATTCCATTCAATCCCTTTTTAGCGTGATCCAAACTGAACCAAAAACTTGATATTTCGTTTCTTTCTTTAAGTTTTAGGACTAAAAAAATGGTCGAAGAAATATGCAAAGTGGTTGTTCATGCTCCTAGCATGCTTCAAATATGATCGATATGCTATCCGTCAAAAAAGGATACTTTATATGGGATTTTGACACCCTCGATGGAGAACGAGCATTTTAGGACTTTAATATTTTTTTTTGTTCTTTCCTTTTTAATTATGAGGAGATTGTACTCAAGGAAAATGATTTTGAAGACTTGTTTAGTATAAGGCAATTTACTACAAGAAAGTCAAAATCACTCCAGTCTAAAAAAACTTTATTGCACTTTTAAACTCTATCAGTAGCACCCCAAGCTGGCCAATGCCATATCCAGCAGCTAGAGCGATTGTAACCTTCTTACATGAAAGGTAAAAAAGGTCCTATCCTATATTTTCCCTTCTTTTATATAATATTTTCACATCCAATTCAAACATCCAAAAAGTTTTCATTCACAAGCAATTTCTAATCCACTATTTCAAACATTGGACAACCAACACAAAAGTGTTGAATTCCTTTTGTTGCTTTATTTCAGTTTATTTCTTTTTCCTCTTCTTCCTTAAATGTTAAATGGAACCCAGTGGAAGACATCACATTGTGGCACTTAGCAATCTGACCACCTACGCCTTGAGACGACCATTCTCTCTTTCTCAGTTCGAGTTCATGATATTCCATTTATTTTCCTTTCTTTTATCCAGGAATTGGGGTTTTATCGACCCCGTATGCACTATCCGAAGGTGGTTGGGTATGCCTAATGCTACTCTTCGTAATGGCCTCCGTTAGTTGCTACACTATGTTCCTTCTCAAACGATGTATGGATACAAATCCAAGGATTCATAGCTATTCTGACTTTGGCAAATTCGCCTTCTGCCGAAGAGGTTGGATGACAACATCTGTAGTTCTCTATCTTGGATGCTATCTTCTTGCAACTGAGTTCATGATACTGGAAGGTGACAATCTGGCAAAATTGTTTCCTGGTTTTGAAATTTCAAAGCCAATGTTGGAGGGCAGAAAAGCATTTGTTATTGTCTCCGCCATTGCAATATTCCCTACTGTTTGGCTGCGAGGTCTTGGTCCACTTGCTTATATCGCAGTGGCAGGAGATCTAACTCCTATACTTCTGCTCAGCGCAATTCTATGGTTGGCATTCTTCGACGGCATTGTGTTCCACCAGGGCCGAAAATTTGCAAATCTCAAAGGAATGCCGACTGCTGCCAGTATTTATGCAACCTGTTTTAGTGCGCATGCCACCTTCCCTCTAGTTTATTCTACCATGAAAGACAGGAAGAAGAGCTCAAGCGTAAGCACAGTACACTATATCTTAGTTGTGGTTGCCTTTTTCCTTTCTTCTTTGGTTTGGCTGCGTTTTGAACCTTTGGATTTGAGGCCCTTAGATAACCATGTTTCATCAGTAAATATATATTTTATTTTATCATTGGAAATTTATCGAATTATACTAATTAATTATTTAACAGTTTACCTTTTTTCAAACTATTCCAACTCATGATCATGTATATTTTGATGGGTATTTTAAAATTAAATCCAAAGTACTGGAAAAAGTGCTAAATAGTTTTATCTCTTGTACATTTTGTTAAATCTCCCTTTTATTATTCTCGACTAATGACTATTGCATGCTTGTCAATATAGATGCTGGTCATAAGTTTTGCTACTGTTGCTGTGATCTGTGGAGCAATGGCTTTATCCGGTTACTTGATGTTTGGAGACCAAGTAAAAGCTCAAATAACTTTAAATCTGCCCCCCAAGAATATCAGCTCTGCCATCGCAATTTATGCCTCTATTGCGACTCCATTCGCGAAATACGCGTTGGTGGTAACCCCAATTGTGATTGCAATTGAAGAAGCAACCCCACTATGTAAACATAGGCCCATGAGCCTTCTCATTAGAACCTTGTTGGTGGTTAGTACAGTTATAGTGGCCCTGACATTTCCATTTTTCGGGTACTTATTGGCACTAATAGGATCCTCTATTAGTTGCACCGTCTCTTTATTGCTCCCATGTTTGTTTTACTTGAAGATCACTAATGGCTTGAAGGGTTTCAGGGCAGAAGTGGTGCTTATCTCAGGGATTTTGGGGATGGGACTTTGTATTGCTGTTTCAGGAACTTACATTTCCATGAAGAGGATTGTTCAAAGCTTATGAAGGTTAAAATCATAGAGGCTCATGGTGAAAAGTTCTAAAAGATTACCTAATTGGGCAATCAAAATTCAACTTCTGTCAAAATTCCCACTTCAGTGTAAACTTCTGTCCCACTTAAATTGTATATTTAGAGTAATGGGCTCTAGGATATGTAAAACATATGGTTATGGTTCCGTTAAAAGCTTATCGAGCAAAAAAACAACAAAAAAAAAAGAAAATTGTTTATAAAATTTCTCGACAGGAAATGACAATTATGAAGCCCTTCTTTTGCATTGCATTTTCCTTAAAACTTTGCATCACGTTTCAACTTGATTGCAGTTGTTTTGCAGCCAAATGGTGAGAAACACAGCCAATAAATAACAATACAAATTGCTAAATATTTTGTATTTGAACTTCGTTTTATCTACTAGGTCTCTTGTAAGGGCGGATAGATTAGGAAGAACTCAATCAAAGGATCCTTGAAGGTTATTGGGTTAGTGTCACAAAACTCAAAATTCAGATTTTTTTTTTTTTTAAAATAACATTTAATAGTTCTTATATGGTTCTCAAAAATTTAGACTAAAATAATATTTTTAGATTTGTGTTTTGCACAAGGGAGTATATGCATATTATGCTCCCATGGGAGCATAGCATACAATGCTCATTACTTATAGCTAAATCTTACACTTAATATATGACATGATATTTGAAGACCAATGTGATTCAAAACAAGATGCTGATGATTTTCTAAGCAACTAAAATTACCATGGATCCGTGGAGTGGATCGTCCATCCTAAATTTGTAATGAACAGTGCAAATGGGTGATCTAGAAAAATAGTAAATACTAAAAAAATAAATAAAAATTAAAATAGAGATTTATAGGGTGGGATTTGTGGGAACTAAGTAAACATCACATAAGCTTAAAAGATACATACATAGGCATACACACATAGAAGGATACCACAATACCATAACAATCTACTTTGTAAGTAGTTTAATAATATTAAATTAGCCCAAGACCCACCACCAAAAAGATAGAAGAAGAAACAATCAAATAGGTGAAAATGAAAGGAAGAAAAACAGCTTTTCATTCAATAAAAAAAACAGGGTACACAAAAGCATTACAAACTTGAAATATGATATCACTTTTCCCCCATAAGTTTTTTAAAAAGAAGTTCTTACAACCAAATTTATAATAAAACTACCAACTTACAACAATAATTACCTATTTACAGTATTAACTACTAACAACCTCTTAATTCTATAACTTCCTAGTGCACAATTATATATACAACCTCAATAACTCAGAATAAACTAAAAAACAAAACTAATATGATTTCTAGACAATACACTTAAATAATTTTAATAGGTTTTGTGGGATAGGCTAGGTCAGGGCCTATACCTTCCTAGAGCCAATTTGGTTTGAGCCGATTCCCAGTCTAGATCAATGGGAATCTTTCTCTAGCAACGCACCCTCTCTCTCTCTATTGTGTACCTATCTCTCTTTAATAAATGTATTTTTATAAAAACAACTTACAATAAAAAGAATTAGACCGACACTAATCCACCATGATCCGAACTGCCTTCACTTTGGATTTCAAGTTTGAAAGTCCCAAACCTTGAAGGTGATGAAGTGATGGGTGTAGGGTTTTCAGGAACCCCTAGCTTGTAGAACCGGGAATCCTAAATACCTGGATCCCACCCAAGATCGTATGCATGATTGGCTAAATACGAAGTAGATTAATACAACTATAAATCCAGTGTGAGAAATAAAATAAACACAAAAAGGCACACTATAAAAACACAAGATTTACGTGGTTCACCCCATGAGCTAAATCTACGGCCTCGACAACTAGAAATCCACTATCACAATGAAGATTACAGTTTTGGATTACAAGAAATAATACCTATATCTAAACATTGGTAAAAATCATCGTCAATCTTCCCTTTTAAACCTGCTCCCCCGATCGAGCAACACCTTCAATCAACCTCTTTTCCACCGTAATATCGCTACCGGAAGATAATATCGAGAGTAATATAAAGATTTTTTCTATCTAGAAGTGGAAGTTAACCAACTCAAAACTCATGAGAATACCACCTCTATCTTGGAGGCCATGTCTCTCTCTTGAAGACCCATCTCCCTCTTGGAGATCCAGTCCCATAACCCCAAAAGTTGTGACTCTCAAAAGATGGGTCTTATGTCTTCCTTCACTCTCTTATAAAAATATTACTTTCTTGCTTCCTAAAAAAATCAATTTTCTATTTCTTAAAATGTCGTAATCTTTAGAAAAAAACATAACTATGGTGATTTAGCTACCACCAAACCCAACAATGGGATTTTGGACTAACCACAAAATTTCTTAAGGGCTTTGGCTTTAAGCTGTCTCTCCTTCGGACGTTGAAGGTTTAAAATGAGCCATATTCAAAAGAATAATGGCACTTTTAATTCCGACGCATGAGTCAAGCCCAAGATTGAACTCCAAACCGCTAACTATAAAGAAAAAATTACATGCTACCAAGGATGAATGACATTAGAAAACAAACATTGGGGTGTGGGGTTGAGAAGTTTCAAATAAGGTATTTAGGATTTGCCTTTTATTGATACAAGAATGTCAAGGTCGATCTAGGACCGAGTGGTTCAGACAGTGCGGTATAAGCTAGACTTATAGAAAGCAAAATTGTTTTCAATGAGGGGGAAGTTTGACATCAATAAAATCTACTTTGGCCGATTCATCCATATATTAAATATCCTTGTTTAGAATGCCCAATGACATTGTGAAGAGGTTGGAGAGGCTGATGCGTAATTTTTTATGGCGTGAAATGAGGAAAACCAGATAATTCAGTCGGGTAATTAGGAACAGGTACCCTTGTTAAAGATTGGGGGTATGCGAATCAAAAGAGGATCATGAATAGTGCATTACCTACAAAATGGTGATGGAGATGTACAATTGAAAATGAGCATCGCCTAAGACAATATGGAGTAGATAGGGATCACAATGATAGGCATTGTTGTTGATAGGGAGAGAAACAACTGAGATTCTTACAGCTAAAACGGATTAGTGATGACCACTCAAAAGTTCAATTTCCTGTACTATTTCAAAAAGTGACATCAAAGAGTGCTAAATTTAAAGATTTAGTCACCTTATTAGGGATGAATGCAACTTGGGGAACCCAATGTAGATATAACAGATAATCAGTAGAATGTTGATATAACAGACACGGTAGTATGCATATATATCCTATTTAAGAGAAAGGGTATAATTTTTCCAAATATATGTACTTTATGTAAGGAAAAAGTTTATATAAGTGCGAGGCCTTAAACAATCAAATTAGGGTGCACTACAAAATTTTCAGTAGAAGGGGTTGTTTTGATGCCAAAATATCCTCAAATTAATCATCTCGACTTCAATATGCATGTACATGAGAAAAAAATGGATTTCAAGTTTTGGAAATAGTGCATCATGTAATGCTTTTTTCGACCATCAATTTTCAAGATTTTTCTATATCCGCTTGGTCTACACTATTTTTTAAGCTTTAAATTTTATAATTGGAGATGAAAATATATTTTAAGGTTATCCCAAAGATTTCCAGTATTGAAACTACAGTTCTCGATACTATTTGAAGTTGTGCTTTACTTTGATTGTTTAGAGCATGGGCTCTATACAAACTGCACCTTTTATGTAAAAAAATTGAAGAAACTATAGATCATTTATTTTTGGAGTGTGCTTATGTAGGGATCTCGAGATCCCCTCGCTTGTGGAATCCGGAATCCCAAATATCGGGATCCTACCCAAGATCGTGTACTCAATTGGCCAAATACAAAGTAGATGAATACAATTAGAAATCGAGTGCGAGAAATAAAGCAAACATAAAAATCACACCACAACACACGATTTACGTGGTTCATCCCGTAGGGTTACATCTACGGCTTTAACAACTAGAAATCCACTATCACAATGAAAATCACAATTTTGGGTTACAAAAGAGAATAACTATCTCTAAACATCGGTAAAAGACCATCACCGATCTTTTCTTCTAAACCCGCTCTCCAAATGGAGCCATTCCGTCGATCAAAATCTTATTTCTCAACGTAATACCATACCGCTATCGGAAAGATAACCTCGAGAGCAACCGAGATGCTTTCTCTCTCTAGAAGTGAAAGTTAACCAACCCAAAATTCATGCAAATACCGCATCTCTCTCGAATATCATGTCTCTCTCTTGAAGACCCATCTCTGTATTGGAGATCCATTCTTATAACCTTCAAAGGGGTGACCCTCAAAGGAAAGGTATTATGCCCCTCTTCGCTCTCGTATAAAGATATCACTTTCTTGCTTCTCAAAAAAATCCATTTTTTATTTTCCATAATACCCTTAATCTTTAAAAAAATATATATATGTATAATGATTGGGTATCACCAAATCCAACCGCTTACACAAGATACGTATAGGAATGGGTAAGAAATGAAATGGATATTCAAGTATTTATGGCAACTCAACACAACTAGTACTTTCACGTAGTGGGAGTTACTTGATGTTACTACTTAGGGCAAGACGTTGTGGAAGATTGTTAAAGGGTAAGTGGTGTGGGAAGTTTGAAAAGGAAGAAATCATGGATGTTTTCAAAATGTTACACTGAAGGCGAATGGATTTATAGGAAAAAAATAAGGGGTGTGTCAAAGTTAGATTTCAAGTATAATTTGAATGATGTGATTAGGATGAGAAGAAAAGTGAATCATGGTTCTAATGTGTGGGTAGCACCTGAAAGGGGGTTCATCAAATTAAATTTCTATGAAAGCTCATATGGGAATCTAGAAAGGGTCGGAGTTGGGGGAATGGTGCAAGGTCTCAATGGTGATGTGTTAAGAAGGTATGCCCTATTGGACAGTTGATAGCTAATGAAGTTAAGGTCCTTGTTGCAAGGATTGAAGATAGCTAAAGGTTTTGGCACCATAAATTATTGCTATAAATGTAATAAATTGGTGCAATAAGGAGATGAAGGTTTTCATTGAAGTAAGATTTAGGTATTGGTATAGGGACAATAATTCTAGGGAAAGGTTTTTATACTTCTTTTACAGCATAAAAGAACTATCCTCCCCCTACCATCCAGCCATCCAATCTTGATCAAGAGAGTCACTCACCGTTTGATCTTAGATCAGACCTCTCAAAGTATTTTATTTTTGGTTTTTTTTTTGTACAAATTGTATAAATATAAAATTTGGTACGTGTCATCTTCTCATTGGTGCGCACTTATAAAAAATATTAAAAAATAAATTTTCAATAAAATATAATAACCAAAATACCCCTTGACACTTTCAAGGGTATTTTGATCATTTTATTTTATTGGATATATTTTTCACTAGTGTGAGTTTAATAGAGGATTGGACGTCCAAAATTTGGTCTAAAAATAGTTTATAGAAAATAAAATAGTGTATAGACGTGACATTGTGATTGGGGCAATCTTAGCCCTCCATTCAAAATGGACAATTGGATAAGGGGAAGTATATAAGTTTTATGCTGTAGGGGAAGCATAGAAAGCTTACCCATAATTCTATAGGTAATTTGTTGGGGAAGTATTTAATATATAGCAAGAGGGATAATGAAGGGGAGAAATGTGAGTGATACAGAAAATCGGGGCAATCTCTACAACTATTTTTTGTTGTATTTTTGTGTCAGAAATGTATATAATGAGACTATTTATTTTTTATACAATGAGGTTACAATCATTATTAAACAGTAGATTTGAAATCCGGGGTTGAAGATATGTCATTGTTTAAGCACAAAGTTCAAAACAAAATTTTTCGAATGTTACAACGCATTTTTATTTATTGGATTTCATATCCAATGGCTAAACGCCTAAAAATGATTATAATCTCTTTGTAGCAAAAATAAATGGTATCATAATAGACAATCCTTTTGTATATAATACATATAAATGCACATTTGTATATTTGATTAAATCAATAAAGTGGTAACCTTTTGTAAAAAAAAATCAAAATAGAAAAGAAGCGTATAAAAGTGAAAAATAAAATTTAAGAAGTGTATAATAACGTTAATTCAAGAGAGGTGAGCTTAAATTTATGAAAAAAATAAAAATAAAAAATAAAAAACATGATAAGCTGGCTTTCAAGAACTTACTAACATAACTCGAGAAAAACAAAAAAAAAAAACCACACTGGAGAGGCCTCTCTCCTATGAAGAAACCGTCAGATGCGCTAAAATTCATCCTGACCGTCCATCTCAAATCTTCTCACGTGTCGTCGCTTCTCTAACATTTAAAATGTCCGCAATGTAAGTGTCCAAATTAATAAGCTCCTTTGCTACGCGTGGAGGCAACCAATCACAAACATTTCTTCTGCCTTAAAACCAATGCGATCATGCCACGTACTAAATTCCTACGCAGTGATCCGGTCTCTTTTCCTCCCTATATAGAGCGATCTCTTTACCGTTATTTATACTTCACGAAATTTCCCGTAAATTCTTCCCGGCGCCTCTGTCTTCACATTGAAGCATTTTCCGGCGAATTCCCTGCGGTTCTGTATAGAGCGAGGCATTCTCCGGTGTCTGTGCCAAGGGAGACATTTTCTGGGCAATTTTTCGGTGTTTATTTGTGAAGGGAGGCGTTTTGACCGTCAATTTCCTGGCTTCTCTCTGAAAAGGAGAAATTTTCTGGCGTGTTAAGAGCCGGATCTAAGATTTTCCGGCGATCTTTTGGGGCAATGGAAGGCCGAGGGCCTGGACTCGGTCGAGTCCTGGTTTTGGTCTTCTGCATCGCTGGTATCTGGTCCGCTTATATCACTCAAGGTGTTCTCCAAGAGACCTTGTGAGTTTCTCTCTCCTTCTCTCTCTCAGTGGCATCCTTAATGGCGCAGTGGCATCCTTACTCGCCATTATTTTCTTTTCTATTTGATTAATGTGGATGGAATTGTGATCAATCTAGCCATACCTTTGGCGAATGTCATTGTGTTTGATTCTACAATCCTCATTTGTTTTTAATGTGAAGTTTTTTATTTTTTGCAAATTTGTTCCTTTGAATTTTGGTTCGCAATTACAAATATCTCTGTGTTTGAGATTACCTCGCTGGCCATTGTACCGACAAATAAAAATATTTTGTTGCATTTGAAATGGAATTTAGGCTTTCTATTCCTTCTATTCACCATTATCTGCTGGAATTATTTATTCTTTTGCACTTAATCATGCTAGCAAAAATACTTGTGAATGTCTTAAATTTTTAAGGGTTTGTCTCATGGATTTGTGGACTACTGGATCAATTCGTATGCAATTAAAGAGAATTTCAGTTTTTACATCTTTTACCCTAAGTTTTTTTCCCCTTCAATGTCAAATTTGATTTATAATGGCTTGAAATTGTAATTTTTTTTATTCTTTTGTTATTCCTGGTGTGCTTTTAAGTTTTTGTAATGCATTCTTATGTATTTATACTATAAAAATTAATGCTTTTCTGAACTTAGAAGCAAAGTCCCAACTGTTTTATACTTTTTATTCTTCCATTTTTACATGTGGATATTGATTCATGTACTTCTTTCTTAATTACGTTTCTCAATACTTGTAATAGGTTCTGAAAGTTCTCCCTTTATTTCCTTCTTTTGTTTCTATTGTGTATAGTTACGAAGATTTTAAACGTGATGAGGCATTTAAGATGGTTTAATATGACAAAGTATGGTATTCATTTGATTTATGAATGGTTTGTTTGTAGGTCTACCAAGCGATTTGGTCCTGATGGGAAACGGTTTGAACACCTTGCATTTCTCAATCTCGCTCAAAGTGCTGTTTGCTTTTTCTGGTCATTGATAAGTAAGCTTTGAGATTTTGATTTATAATCTGATGGCAATGGGATTTTCTTTAATACTGGTTTTGAAATGAATTGACTTAAGCTTTCTTTGATGTTGTTCGCCGCTATTTCTGATAGTGATAAGGCTTTGGTCTGGAAGTCGAGGTGGTGGAGCTCCATGGTGGACTTATTGGAGTGCAGGTATCACAAATACTATTGGTCCAGCAATGGGTATTGAAGCATTGAAATACATCAGTTATCCAGCCCAGGCAAGTTCAAAGTTGTTAAATTTGTCGATTGCAATATAAACATGGCAGCATAGAGGTAGCTAATTTGAATGATTTGCATTATCATGTTGGATAGGGGCAATAACTGTTAAAATGATAAAATGATGCCTTGGATCTTCAGAAATTGAATTCTTAGGCTTATGAAATTGAATGATTTTGTGAAAATTGAATGAAAAATTCTATTCCAAACTTCTACCTCTCTTGAGGTGTTTTAGGTTGGGTGGAGCCCTTGTTAAGCAGGACGCATACTGGTGCATTGCTTCGTGTTCTTTTTTTTTTTTTTTTTGGTATCCAGTGATAGGATTTGAACTTGTAGATTACCACTTGTGTACTACTACATGACTTTGTTTATAGACTGTTGAACAAGTCCTGATAATAAATGACACTCCCATTCCCATAATGCAAACTCGTTCAGCAGAATGATTACCAGTAGTGTACTACTACATTACTTTTTTAAAGGACGTTGAACAGTTCCCGATAATAAATGACACTCCCATTCCCATAAATGCAAACTCGTTCAGAAGAATGATGATTGACTTAGCTAGACACTGGGCCCTTAAGCTTTGAAATAGGCAAACATGGGCATGGAGCACGAGGAAGAGTTACAAGTACATATCAAGATCAGGACGTGTTTCAATCTCATCATCCCTATGCCTAACCCTTACGATGGGTTTAAGTATTTATCATTCGAAACTCATTCTGAGAAACTAACTAAACGAATGCCTGTCTGCTGTAAGAGAATCTAAAAGCACCGAACAGAGTACACAGCATAATACTTGAGTGGCCTCGTATTACCAATGGCAATTCAAAAGAATGAGTGGGCTCATAGAAAAATGTGCTTAACAAAGGAAACACGGAAATACCACATTTTGCAGATGACTTCTGTATCCAATTTAGTATTTTACCTCTGCAGAACGGAACATAGATATGGTAATTTGATGACCTGTCACAATTTAGTATTTTACCTGGATTTGAGCACTGTGATTAAGGATAACCTGTTCGTTCATTCACATATGGCTGTTTTGTTCGTAGTGTTACCATGAATGCATGATGGATTTCACAAAGAAGTAAAAGCGGGTCTAACAAATGAGATTTGTTTATGTACAGGTTTTGGCAAAATCCTCAAAGATGATTCCAGGTAAGCTTTTAAATTGACCGTTTTTCTCAATAACAACATATATGTACATATGTGGTTATTATGTAATATTGTTTTTCTATGCTATATTACAAAACATATCCAGTTCACACAGATGGTTTATATTTCTAGAGCCTGAGGTGCATTTTTAAATAAGTAGCTGCAACCAAGGTTTCCATTTGGTGAGAAATATTAAGTAAACTGTTGTTTCTTGACTCATATTCCATTGATGAACTACTTCGCTACGCATGGGAAACTATCAAAATACGGAATTGACATGATATGCATTTTTACTTTCACAAAAATGACTATATGAGGAACAAACATAACGAACATAACAATGAGTATTAAGCACTTCATTTACTGCATTTCACTAGTTTCAGTGGAATTGCCCAAGTGTTAAACATTAAATTGTTGTCTGGGAAACATTATATATCCACACTGTGTCATATATTGATTCTAATACCAGTTGGAAATGTTGGTCTAACAAAAGCAAGTGTATGGTCATTTTCTATTAAACCAGGCATCCTGCCCATTGAAGTTTTTACCGATGGTCTTTTACGCACATTTCCCTCCCATCTCTTTTTAGTAGTCCAGTTTGCTGGCTTCGAGAAATGTTTCTTACGTATCTTACCGACATTTGCATAGCTTTTATTTGAGTCTTTTGCATATTTTCTATACAACAATTCTTAATGTTCCTTAGAAGCATACAAATTTGTGAGGAATTTCTTTCCCAAGTGAACTTGAAATGTGTTTCACCTCTTGATTAGGCAAGTATCACTTGATACAACATGTTAAGATATGATGGATTCACATTTGTTGTTTAAGATTTTCTTGTTCAAAATGTGTTATATACTTAATGATAGAAAATGAACATGGCCTATTTTTCAGAATAACTGTTTAGATACTGTGAATGGTGTACTTTTACAAATTATATTTTTTTTTTTAGTGTGTTAACATTGTATTTAAGTAGTGAAAAATTACAAAGAGGGGAGTGAAATTTAAAGAGGCAACCCACAGATGGGTGCCCTATACAAAAAGGAATATCCAAGCTATAAAAAATGAGATGCTAAGCCAAGATGAAACAAAAATAGGAGTGAAGGGGAAAGTGCATGCTCAAAAAGGTGCTAAGGCACTTCCCGGCATTGTGCTCAGGTTTACTTCCCAATAAGGAGGCCCCTTCCTTAGCAAGGTAGTCGGCCTCAGAATCGGCTCCTCTCCAAGTGTGACTCCTCAAATTTGAGTTGGATTGCTAAGTTGGAGTATCTTATAAAAAACATCATCAATCTCCAAGACCACGGTGTCCTACTCAAGGCCCAAGCCAGCACACTCTTGGAATCACTGTTGACGATAAGAGTATGGCCCCAAGATGGATCAAAACTCCTTAGGAATTCTTGGAGTGCTTGGGCTTCTGTGGTTTGGAGTCAGAAAACCTAATAGGAAGGGAAAAAGGGAGCAGGATGACTCCGTCTTTGTTTCGAAATAACCCCTTGATGGTCTTCACAGGGAAGCCCGAGAGATTCTAAGAGATTTCAGGTTCATTTTGTTTGGAATACAAATTACCATATTTTGTAATGTTAATTTAATAATCTTTAACTATTTATATAGATAAGGTGCCTAGGGACTGCACCTGCCTAGGTACAAAAACACCCATCTAGTGTGGTATTTTTGGTATTTTTTGTTTGGATTATAAAAATGTATGAAAATGTATTTTTTATACAAAATATGGTTTTTGTTTGGATTATCAAAATGTATGAATATGCATTTTTATACAAAATTTGTTTTTTGTTTGGATTATAAAAATATATGAATATGCATTTTTTATACAAACTCTGGACCTAAAATGGGATCTTCGACATTGTGCCACCTGGCAGTTTTTGAAACATTGATAATTGGAGTATTCTTTCTGGAGAGACTGAATTCTAGATGAGTAACCCACATGTCTAACCATTCTCTTCATCTTCTTGGCTGTAGTGATGCTGATGGGAACTCTTGTTTATGGTATTAAATACACCATTCCAGAGTACGTGTGCACTTTCCTTGTTGCTGGTGGTGTATCGGCATTTGCACTAATGAAGGTAATTTGAATTTTTTTTTAAAAAAAATGTGTTTCTCTTTTGGGTGCAATGTATATTTCTTACTCTTGGTCATCTTTGCTCTATCTTCAGACCAGGTCAAATATTTATCTTCTTTTTCTTTTTTCACGTTGTATTGAGCGAGTCATCGTTAATTTCCTACTTGAAAAGAAGTAAACAAGCTTCTTTGCTTGAATCACCGAGCATTTATCCATAAACAGTGGAGGCATGAATTATAATTTTCTAGTGCTAGAAAGTTGCATTTGTTTTTCTCCCTTTAACTTGGTGTTTCTATTGTGCACAGCCCAGCTCAAAGACCATTAGCAAACTTGCACACCCAAATGCCCCTCTTGGCTATGGTTTGTGTTTCCTCAACCTCGCTTTAGATGGATTTACAAATGCCACCCAAGATAACATATCAGCAAGGTAATGATAGCTGTTATTTCTGCATAGGAGCTTTCCCCCTTTTCTCTTTTTCTCTTTGTCTTTTTTGTTCTTCTTCCTTCTCTTTGTTTTTTTGGCATTTATTTTTGGTTAGTCCATGAACCTTGGAATATATGTCGTGATAAATTCACGATATTTCTTCGAAAGAAAACTTGGGTGCTTTTCATACTGTTTTAGGAAGCATACCATGCATGCCTGTTCTCAACTTGTATGGTGCAGATGAACCACAGTTCGAATTTCTAATGACATTCACCTCAGAACTATGCTTCATCTTCACCGTCCATCTTGGGAATAGACTACAGATGCCATACTTGTGCATGGTACTACCGTGCACACGATTTTTATGCTATCCTCCTCATCTTCCTTCATTATTTGACGAAGCAGTGCCTCTGTCTATCCAAACAGGTACCTGAAAACAAGCGCATGGGACATAATGCTGGGTATGAATTTATGGGGAAGCATCTATAACATACTCTACATGTTTGTTTTGTCTCGTAACATTGGCTTCGAGGCCATTGCATTTTGCAGGGAGCATCCCGAGGCAGCTTGGGATATTTTAATGTACTGCCTTTGTGGAGCTGTAGGCCAAAACTTCATCTTCTTAACAATAAGCAGATTTGGCTCTTTGGCCAACACCACTATAACTACTACTAGAAAGTTTGTGAGCATAGTGGTTTCTTCTCTCGTAAGCGGCAACCCTCTCTCTATCAAGCAATGGGGTTGCGTATTCATGGTCTTTTCAGGCCTGTCTTACCAAATATATCTCAAGTGGAAGAAGCTAAAGATGAAGAAGAAGAAGAAGGCCTTGTGAGGATTCTCCCTTTTCATTTTTGTTTTTGCTTTTAGTTGGGGGGAATTCTCTTATAGTTTCCATATCCTTTCATCTCTTCCAGAATGGGGAGATGGGTGTAGAATTTAGTGATTGAAATGTAGAGGAATATTATTTTTACCGAGGCTAATTCCAGAATTGGGAGATAAAAGAGTATAGAATTTAGTGATTGAAATGTAGAGGTATATTATTTTTACTGAGGCTAATAGAATTGAATTCAGCAGTTCTAATTTTAGTAAGGGAAGATCTGAGGGGAAAGAATGGTATTTGATTCACCTTTTCTTTCTTTTGCTTTATTTTAGTTGCTGATCCTTCTCGACCTCTCTTAAAAGTGGAGCTGGTGTACTGTTCAGTGATCTAGCTGTAAGCATATAGCAGTTGATTTAAAAAAGGGTGTAGTTTTTATAAGGTTGCAACCTTAAAGAATCCAATTAAGGAGCATCTTGAAATTTTATATAATTTTGTTGTAAAACATTATTAGTATTATCTTAAAATCTATTTTCATACCTAATTAAAAAATTTTAAATTCAAAAAATGGTTAAAATCAAGTAGATCTGTAAATAATATGAAAATCTTGAAAATGGACGGTCTAGATAATATGTTGCAAGATGCACTATTTTGGATATTCAAAACTTTTTTTCTTTCATATTCATAGATCTCGATGTCGAGATGATTGATTAGAGGGTTTTTTTAACATTAAAACAACATTTCCGATAAATTTTTGAGATGGATATGTGATTCTACATTTTAAGGTTGCAACCTTATATAAAATTTTTCCTTTCAAGGTTGCAACCTTAAATAAAATTTTCC